GTGAGTAAAGATATCCTTCGAATGTTATGTAAACATTATACTTATAATTCGGGAATAGATTCTCCATTTTTTCGAAGATCATCAAAATTCTCAATAAACACTTTTGTAAACCAGTGGTTCAAATTCTCCTCAATTTTACAACCAGAAAAATAGTTGCAAACGGAATAGTACTACTACCTCAACACTGCAAAAACAAAATAAATTTTCTAGACTTCATATTTGGACCTATATCAAGTTACTTGAAGTACTCATGAATTTCTTGTCATAGCATTTCTCCCCAAAATGAACAAAAAACCCTAACTCTCAAGCAGAAAACTACGTTCCCTAAAATATCTGATATTCATGCCGATTAGTGGCAAAATATTTCCTACTGTACTGCTCGCCATTCTGCAATAACTTGTCAGCTGACGCGAACTCCGTTTGACACATACAGCGTGCATGAAAATTCGAGAACCACCTCGATTTGAGCTGAATGATTTTCACATGACGTTACCGTCGTTATGACTCAGTTTCTGTTTCAGTGCTGTTGTTTAAATCATTTTCGTGGTTATTCTCGCTGCTCTTCTCTGCTTTTCATGTTTGATTTGGTCTATACTTCTGGTTTTTATATTATATTCAGGGGCAACCATGTTCTTCCACACTATGGGTGGCATGGGAGGTATGGGCCGAGGTCAAGATGGCCCAGTTGACACCCGTCTTTATGATCTTTTGAAAGTGAAGCCGGATGCTAGCGAAGACGAAATTAAAAAGGTTAGTTTTTCTGTTGAATAGTCTAAGGATTGCTTTCGCATTTACTAAAACAGGTTTTCGATCTACGATTTTGATCAATTTGGCACTTGTATATGCAGGAAATCAATGTTAGCCCCTAGCTCTACTTGAAATACTACTCACGTGACCAAATGTTCGTTGAGGACCACGCTTGAAATAAAACTGGCACTTTTATGAGAAAAGTTGCTTACTTTTGACTTCTTAACTTGTTGGTTTTTAAGAGTTTTGTTCACCAAAAAAAAAATGGTGAATTCGTTTGAGGATTTTTGAATGCGCTCCGGGGAAATAAAAGAAACTTCTTTCTTAACTCAAATTATTGAAGCCTATGAAAAAACCCTAGAAGAGTTTTTTGCTGCTTTTGCTTTCGCTATTCAATTGTTGTTTTAGTCATACCGCAAGCTAGCCAAAGAATATCATCCTGACAAAAATCCTGAACATGGTGATCAGGTGTGTTTTGATACGAAAG